TTGTTTTGACTGCTGCACGATATTTTTGTACTATAACAGAAATTTCAGCAATTGAGAGAACGTAGAATCAAATGCTGCAAGCTTTCAACAGAGAAGAGACTTAAAGACATAAAGAAGAAAGCAACAAAATCAGGTATTTGAATAATTGACTGCGAATGAGCAGCAATATTCTTAACTCTAATACAAGAAACAGAGATACTTTACAGTCTGTAAGATGACAGAATTTTCTTTCAGCTTGACAAAAGTGAGACACTGAAAAATCCCTTGTAACAATGATATTATCATTGATATAGCCATATTTTGATAATTGGCAATAAAGTTGATAGTTAACAGTTACTTGTGATAATAAAGTTAACAGTTACTTGTGATAGGCCAGATTTAGAGTTCTCGCCTTATGATGAATTTCTATTTTTAAAGTTTTGGATAACCTGACAAGTGATGTGGAAATTGCAGTACTTCGTGACCAAGGTGTAATCCAGCAAGGACACAATAAACACAAACCAAACAAATCATCCCATCAACTAGAAAAGTAAGTTCAGGGAATGTTATTACAGTAATTAAATATGATATATAACTAATCTTCCAAATGAATAGATTGTTAGCAGTCTCTCTTTTGCTAAAAAAATCCCCAGGGAAGAATGCATGAACAGAGACCAGTGGCAAAGCCCTAAGCCATGAGTAGCACAGTTGTCAAAAGATGAGCGTTTGTTTGGATTTGTGTTCTTCCAACGCAGATCTTTGAGCAAGAGGGGCTGCTTGCAGTCTACCCAATGAATTTGACTACCAAAATAATAGACCTCATCACGGTTTTCAATGCCATCTTGACGGGTAGGCAAAGCGGTCAGAAATTACAGTGTTGTATGGGAATCCGATGGCAAATAACTTTTTCCAAAATTGAATTTTACACAATTTGTGAATAAAAATGCTAAAATACTAAGTTTGAAGGGTGTAGCTTGGCTAGAAGATGCTCAGTTAATTTTTATTTTTCTCCATACATTTGTCTGCAATTTTTTTCCTGCGAACCGCGTCTAGACGTTCATCTTCCCAGCCAAATTTTACAGACAAATGTATGGAGAAGCCAACTGCTTGCAGAGTAATGTTTTGGCAGTAACTTCTGTAATTGTAGGTTACAACTAGTCAGAGTGAATTTGAATGTACTACAAGTTAATATACAAGGTTATCAATAGTTTTAAAACTATGAAGGACTTGATAGTAGTCCTGAAATTTATCTTTGGCAATCAACATTTCACTAATTTTATATGTCTGAATAGTAGAAATAAAGCCACAAAGGGTTATGAAAAGAGGTGGAATGAACTTCAACAGTACTTTGACTCTGAGCCACATCTGAAAGAACCTGGAACATCTTCACACCACCCTGGACCTACTCCTAAGGTGATTATCACTTGACTTGATTCTACTCTATCAACTATTGTATGACTGTATACATCTGTAGGAGGTCATCTGTGTACATAGCCCAACCCATGCCAGGCGGAAGTTTGAGGACACTGCAAACTAGCTGCCCAGAGGAAGGGCAACCTCTAACCCCCACCCCTCCCCCACCTGCATCCTCTCCCCTCTTAACCCATTTCATGAAATCTTGGACCCACTTCTAATGTATAGCAGAATTCCAATGTGTTGCAGTAAATATATATAAAACTCCCTGGGTACCAGATTTAGCCTATTTCCAGATTAGAGATTCTGATGATTGTTAGGGAAAGGGACATTTGAAAGGTCAGGATGTAGAAAATCCTATTTTTCTCAAAATGTTTGTAACTAACATCATATGATAACAAAAGAAATGGTTTTGAGCTTGTTATTTCAAGACCGCAGGAAAAAATTTTAAATCCTGGAAAAGTGATGTTCATACAGAAAAAAACGTTTAGTTTGTGTTATCGCTAGAGTCATTTGACATGTAGATTGAGGAACTCGTAAACCTTGTACACTCCTCGTAAACTCTGAAAGTCTCACCCACACAAAAATGCATGGGAGAGGGCAAAACTGGCCAGGAAAGATGTGAAGGATCAGGATATTTTTCTAGGGGAGGGCAAGGGTATGGAAATATTGGGTTCCTATATTTGGAATGGCATCATAAATTTATTTGGTATGCTTTAAGTGTCTATACAGCCAACAGGGTTCTTTTGCTGTTTTGGTATCTCTATAATGTGTAAAAAGGTATTCTAAGAAAAAAATTGGAATGCGACATTTTAACGCCCAGAGATTTAACTTTAAAGTTCCTGCTTCAGCCACGCCCAATGAAGTTGGCCGTGAGTCAGTGCAAAAAAAAAAGAGTCTGGGTTTCTGAATGAGTTGTGATGCCAAGTCAGGAATTGCCAAATCCTTCTAGTTCAGGTCACTGTTGTTTCAGTAGCGGTTAGGAGTTTTCATCGACAAAAAGCAAACAAACCAAAGTTGGTGAAACAATGCAGTCGTCAATCAAGCGAAATAAGAACATGAAGCTTTGAGATGTTCCTGAAGTGATGTCATTCATCACCAGTCTTTCATTATGCTGTCAACTTCATTGGGCGTGGTCTAAGCAGGAAATTTAAAGCTTGCTTTCATGGCAAAAAAGCACCAGAATTAATTTTTTTTGGTTTGAATACATTTTTAGATGTTATAGAGATACCAAAACCACAAAAACCCTGTTGGCCGTATAGACACTTTAAGATAAATTATTTTGCAAGAGTTTTTTAAAGGGGGTTTATATCTAACACGGTTTTTGTTTTTGGGGGGATATACTGTGAAGTGGGAGTACCTTAATATTACAAGGTGGGTGGGTCTTTCAGCTTCAATTTTACTTTCTTGTTGCCTCCCTCATGGGGTAAGAGCTGTGCCTTAATTGCCACCTCTTCTGAAACCATTTACTCACAGGATTATATTTTGTCCTAAGGATGATTTAGAAGAAAGGTTGGAGGTTGCAGTCAAAGGGAAGAGGTTTAAAGTGGCAGAAAAACTCAACAAGCAATTGATGCAGCATGACTTTGCAGTAAAAGTAGCTCAAGCTGTTGAATGTAGAGACTATGCAAAGAGAAAAGCAGCTGATGAGGAAATAGCTAAGAAAAGAAAAAGATCTAAGCCACACTGGGCATTTGAGCAGAAGGCAAGATGGGAAAGTAAAGGAAACATGTAGAAATTGCATGTAACATGTTTGTGCAAAACTGGAGGATTAAGCAACCCTCCTGAGACAGAGCAATGGCTTTAACCTTAATAGCCCCAGCATATCAGAAGAAAGCAGGGGGGCATAAGGGAGGTCACAAAACCATGTACAAAAACATTTAAAAAAAAAAAAAACCACAATAGTGCATCAAAATTTACCTAAATACCAAAACCGTAGTTACAAAATTTAATGTGGTACATGTCCTCATCAGTTCTTCAGGTTCCCCATTTCATTAGACATGCAACCTTATTTATTTAGCCAATGAAAAAACCTTGATGTTTACAACTTCAACAGGGCAAACCACTCATAGACAAATGTTGCACAAGGCATGCTTTCCAATTTTTTTTTGTGAAAATTTGCCAAATGCTATTTTTCAAGCTCTAATATCCTGAACACAAGCTTGGAACACCAATGTTTTTAGTCGCAATTCAATTGAAACAGCAGTACATTATGAAAACTGCAAACTGCTTAGCCTTACAAATCTGTAATTATACCGCAGGTTAGAATAACAATGGCCGCAAAACTGCACCAAAAATAATGCAAAACTACATCACCCAAACTCCTTACACCCCCTCAGAAAGGAAACCACATACAGCTCTGGAAATTGGCCATATATAGTTGCCAGTAAGGAAATGCCCTCAAGGGATTTTAATTTAATGGGGGTAGTAAGAGCTCTTTACGTCAGTAAACTGATCAAGCTTTACTGTCTGGGTCAAAATGGACTCTCTGGATCAGAATGTCTGAATAATTTGAATTTAAGCCTGTTCTAGTGTTGAATTCTTAGACCTACTCTAAATGGTTCACTTTGAAAGTGAAGAAATTCTCTACACATTATATTGGGTAATTAAGGCTAGGTCAAAACTGACAGAAACAAGAAGAAATAACAAAGCAACTTTACCACCCTATTTATATATACAATGGTAGGGAAAAATATTTGGATGCCATGCCAAATGACTGTACAAAATGAAATTGTTCCCAAAGTGGATTTATATCTTCTTCAGGTAAATTAAATAACACAGAACATAAATTTATTTATATACATCGGATTGTTATCTTACGATTTGTTCTCTCATGATTTAAGTCGTTAAAGCTTTGTCAAGAACGTGTGTATGGCATGTGTGTGCCTGTTGTAAGGGTGATGAAACTTGTTGGTTGTTAATGTACTGTTTGCTTATTGTTTGTGTACACCTAAACCAGACAAATTTAATATTTTTGACCAAAAAAAAATAAAAGAAATAAATAATAAAACCGATAAGAAACATTATCTTTATTCACAAAAATACAAAACCTAATTTAAACATGTTTTAATATCTCACAGAGATTGAGAAGTTTGCATCATATAACTTGCTAAAATAGCCATGCCATGACTGTTTCACACAGAAACATTCACCTTGCACGTGCTTCAGATATTTCAGCATCTTTATGTGTGGTTTACGTGATCAGGTCACGCATGGTTTAGCAGTCTTTGCACATGTTGCTGACCTTTACAATAATCATTAACAGATGCTATTATCCTGAAGAAATAGAGTGTGTATAATTTAGGCATTCTAAGGAATTAATCAAGAAAAACAAACAAGCAAACAGAAGCAATGGGTCTTTATAATTTGCCCAGAAAAGTGTACAATATTTAATTTTCTATTCTTCAGTGCCTTGCATGCAATATTTCTACTGAAGCTGTCCATCGGGAAACTGTCAATTCAACATCTTATATACTAGTTTTGATTTGGTAGATCTGGAATTTATGAGTGACCCAAGAGGCTCTTCTGTATATTGGTTGAGTAGATGTTGTTTGTGTAATAATACTTGCACCTCCCCTGCCAATTAACAGGTATTGATACTTGTGAATGTGCACATAAGTTGCTATTTTCTGTATTTTTTTTTTGAGGGGGAAGGGGGTATATCCCACTAGCCCCTGAGAACATACTTGATACAAAATATTCTTTTTTTTAGTGAAGAGAAAATAACTTTCTAGTGTGTGAAGTGCTGCAGTCATGATATACTGGATGTATTACGTGATAAGCAATGGCATAAGAGTTTCAACACAGATATTGGAGTCCATCAAGGGAATTGTTATTTGTATATTGGTCACGACCTACACGCATGAGCAGATATACTGA